GAAATTTATAATATCGAAACTATCTTAAACGTGTTGGAAACAATGCACGATAAGATTAAGGCTATGGAGCTAAATATCTTGAACTTGATCAAGAAAAAAAACTTGCAGAATCAACGAAAGAGAGATTCTACCAATAACAAACAGAATCTGGAAAACGAGCCTCCGGTTATTAATACACCTACTAGTAAAAGGGTTAAGGTGTATCATTAATTTTATGTTTTATGTTCATTTTATTAATTGAAACTAGATATTTTTTGGTATCAGGTTTCTTTTCTTAAAAAAAGTTATATTTGAAAAAGACAAAACCTATTTGATAATTTTAAACTCATATTTGGTATTTAGGATATCACTTAATGGGGGTTTGAAATTTTGGTAACCGGATTATAAATAATATTTTTTACATGAAGTCCGATAAGATAATAATAAATATTTTGATAGTCTGACTCTTGCATAGAATATTACTTTTCTTTTACATTTCTTTTTTGAACATATTTTAGAACACCATCTTTAAAACACTGCTTTCTTTAGAAGGCCACTTTTTTTTTTAGATACCACTTCTTTTAAAATATCACTTTTTTAATAGTATGGTTTGCAAAAAAATTTTCTTGTAACATTATTTTAAATAGATGGTTAGGCATACAAAAGAACGATTTTTGAAACACTTTTATGTAACTTCTGTCTTTAACAATGGCTTAATAATGTGGTCAAAATATAAACTCAGATATCCATTTAATGATATAAAGAGACATATAAAGAGTGGGGTTGTAAATGAATTTTACAAAATCAAAAATTACACATTTTTTCAGTTTCTGATCCTACAAATACTGTATAATCGAAAAAACATTTAGCATGAATTGGTCTATGTGAACGAATTCACCACATATTCAATGTGTTCAACTTACTATTACACATGGAGATCATCCTTTACACTATTTATTAAAAAAGCAATTGTTCCTAATAAATTTTCAGAAAAAGTAAGTTAAATCAATCAGAACTTGATTTACTTCATAAGGAAGTAATGCAAAAATCAAAATGGCGTTAAAGGAGAAACACTAAATGTCTAAATGTGAAATTTATACATCAAATATTTCTATATTAATAATGATCAAAGTATTCCAGGTAAGTAATATTATTTATATAATATTTCAGTTTATATTTTTTCAATTTTAAAAAAATAATCTAATTTTTTGTTTTAACCAACAAAACCTATTGAAAAATCTAATATAAAACACATATTAAAGATGAAATCTAATTTTAAAATTTTATTTTAATAATGATATTTTTACATTAATAGAAAAACTTAAAACTCAAAATTCAAAATATCAAGATTTTTTTTGATTCAAAATAGAAGAATTTGAAAAATTTGAAACATTTAAAAAGAAAATTGTATTTGAAAGATTATGTGAAGTTATAGTTAAATTTACTGAATGTCAAAAAGTAAAAAGAAAAATCAATATCTAAAAAATATTCAGATTTTATAATCATTAAATATTTAAATTTATAATACTTTTTAATAAATTTTATTTAAACAAATTATGTAACATATTAGATAAATAATTATTATTTAAATTTAATCATTTTATATTAATATTATTATTAAATTATTTTATCAAAATCTGAAGAATCTTATTTGATTATATTAGTTTTATACTATTAATATTTTAAATCTATATTATATCTTACTATTAATATGTAATTCTTATAAATTGTGATAGTTAAATGGAATATTAAGGATTGATTCTTTTAAAATTTATATAGTAAAACATATAATTTATATTAAATAAAGTTTATACTACAAATTTATATTTTATAAATAATTATTCATCACTAGATGTAAATTATATAGAATTGATAATTTAATAGTAAAAGTAGTTTATTAATAGATATAAGAAATATTAAAGAAATAATATAAAATATAAAAAATAAAAAATAAAGAATCAAAGTAATTTACAGTTAATTAAATGTTACTTATAATCTAAATATACTAAGAGAAAATTGCTAAAATAATTTTAATATTATATATATATTTATAATTATATTGTATATAATAATATATTAATTATATTAAATATATTAAATATATTAAATATGTCAAATATATCAAATATATCAAATATGTCAAATATATCAGATATTGATTATATTAATCACATTTAATATATAAAATACATTATTACACAAAAGAATACTTTAAGATCAATATTGTAAAAATGATAATAATCATTTAGAATTCATTAAAATCTTTTATATCTTCTATATTATTTATATTATTTATTTCTTCTATAATTTTCAAGATCTTTCAAAAGCTTATAATAAAGTAGATCTATAGTATTTTAGATATATCTTTAATAGAATAAAAGTATTTCATTTAATTATTAATCTTTTATCAATTTATTTACTTTTAAAAGAAATATTATATTTATTATAGATAGTATTTTTATTTATTATGATATAAAAATAGGTATTAACTAAAGTAAAAAGATTTCTATCTACTTTGATACATTTATTTAAACTTATTATTATATAAAGTAGAATCAATTATACTTAGATATCTAATCTTATTAATATGATAACTACTTTGTTAATTATTAATATTTATCATTAGTTTTTATAAATAACATAAATTAGATCATTAACTCATAAAAAGATTTTAAAGAATTTTATAATTTTATATAATCTATTTTTAACAAACAACTTATCTTATAATTACCTTATCTAATTAATTTAAAATTTTAATTTATCTTATATTGATATTATTCTTAAATTAAAATTTATTCATTTTTTTAGTATCTAAATTAATAATCATTATTTATAAACTTATATTAAAAACTAATTAAAATAAGATATCAATAGATTCATTAACTCTATATATTATAAGTTATTAATAGATAAATAAATAACTTATATTATCAATATAGTTCTTTTTTATTTTTAAACGATGTAGTACTGCTAGTAAATTTATTAAATTTATATATAAAAAGATACAAAGTAAATCAAAAATAAATCTATGTTAAGTATTAACTATCCTCTGTAATTATATTACAAACCTATTTGAATTGACCTATTATCATCTTTCCTCTCCATCAACTTCACTAGATACATACTTAATGAAAATTGATATCAGCAAGAAAAGAAAAAAAAAGTTAGTGTCTATCTAAAAATCTAAAAGTGCATAACCAAATTTATTCGCCAGGTATATCTAAACTTCTTAATTATAGAAGGAGCTTGATATCTGTTTATATAGTAAGGGAGAACTAATATCTCATTTAAGCTTATCTTATTTGGTAATGCTCACTAATCACTCTTTAGCAATTATTAAATTACAATGGTGTTTTCAAATCAATATAGTTCTTTATTCTATAGCATACAGATTTTATTTCTATCTAAAGGTAAATGTAATATGTTTTTTGCCTAATTTATTCATATTTTAAAAGGAAAATAATTTTATTACATTTCTAATATAAATAATCAACTTCAAATAATTCTATAGAATTAATAATTTTTGATCTTTGTAAATTAAATTAATATTTACTATTCTTTTTAATAATAATACCTTTTATAAACAAATATTAGTTATCAGACTTTTAAATTATGGTCTAATTTTATATTAACTTTTTTCATTAAATTTTTAATTTATTATTAAGAAAAAATGATTATTTATTCAATACAAGTATAAAAATTTTTAAAACAATTTGATTTAAATTTATTATAATATAATGCTATATTACAATTAGAACATTAAATTTGAGATTGAGATAGATTTTGTTGAGATGAAGAATTATTTTTTCTAAAAAGATATCAGTATCATAAGCATCTATCTCTTTTATCACTATATTCAAAATAATGATTATTACTAATAAATCTGTATACTGGTAATCCAAATTTTAAAATAATTTGAATTTTTTTTTATTATCTTCTATTTTATTCTCTTAGTCATTATGGAATTTTCTTTTGATGAAATATCTAAAGTATCTTTAATTAGATTTTGAATTAATAATAATTTAAATATTTTATGATCATTTATAATATTTAATTTTTTGTAGATTAAATATAAATTGATGATCATAGTATCTAGTAACTAAAAAAATAAAGGAATCTATATTCTAAAAATAGCTAATTGCATAAAATAATAGCTTTTTGATTGATCTACAATATTTACTTTTCACATTTTATGATTGTAATTATTAATTACTAATGGAAAAAATAGATGAAGTATTATGTAAATAATAAGTATATTGAAAGGATAAAAATTTTAATGATGATTTACAAGTTATTTTAG